CACAGGGCAGGCTGGGCGTGGTGGCTCACACCTGTAATCCCAGCACTTTGGGAGGCTGAGGTGGGTGGATCACCTGAGGTCAGGAGGTCGAGACCAGCCTGGCCAACATAGCAAAACCGATGTAAACACAAAAAATTAGCCAGGCATGGTAGCAGGTGCCTGTAATCCCAGTTGTTTGGGAGGCTGAGGCAGGAGAATTGCTTGAACCCGGGAGGCGGAGTTTGCAGTGAGCCGAGATCACACCAATGCACAACAGAGCGAGACTCTGTCTCAAAAAAAAAGCACAGTGTACACAATTGGAAATGTTTTCCCTACTGTACAGTGAGAATTGATGTTCATAATGATGCCTTTGGTGGTCTAATGTCTTAATGAGCTTCTTGAACCATCCAAGAAATTAAATTTTGCTCAGTTCAATTGTGTCTTTTTGTTTTGTTTTGTTTTGAGATGGAGTTTTGCTCTTGTTGCCCAGGCTGGAGTGCAGTGGCGTGATCTCCGCTCACTACAGCCTCTCTCTCCCAGATTCAAGTGATTCTCCTACCTCAGCCTCCCAAATAGCTGGGATTACAGGCACGCACCCCATACCTGGCTAATTTTGTATTTTTAGTAGAGAGGGAGTTTCTCCATGTTAGGCTGGTCTCAAACTCCCGACCTCAGGTGATCCGCCTGCCTTGGCCTCCCAAAGTGCTGGGATTACAGGCGTGAGCCACCGCACCCGGCCTGCTCAGTTCAATTTTTAGCGTTCCTTATCTTTAAAATAACCTTGTCTTTTGAAAATTGTGTGATATGTCATAACCAAAATGTTTAAGTTTTGTTTTTCTTATTCCTTATTCTGTTTGATTGATTGATTGGTTGATTGAGACAGGCTCTGTCACCCAGGCTGCAGTACAGTGGTATGAGCACGGTTTACTGTAACCTTCAACTCCTGGACTCAAGTGACCCTCCCACCTCAATCTCCTGAGTAGCTGGGACGACAGGCATATGCCACCACACCTGGCTAATTTATTGTATTTTACCTTATTTTGTGTAGGGAGGGGTTCTCACTGTGCCACTCAGGCTGGTTTTGAACTCCTGGCTTCAAGTGATTGTCCTGCTTTGGCCTCCCAAAGCACTGGGATTACAGGCATGAGCCACAACACCTGGCCTTACTCTGATTAAATAGTATTTTACTAAGAAAGTAGACACAACTATTTTAGTGATTGATTCTAAGGAAAATTTAGTGGTTGATTCTGCCAGAAGATGAGTAGGATTATTTAGGTGACATCTTGCGGAGTTCCCTGACAGATTCCTGTTTGAAAAGTTAAGCACTGTGGTTACGGTGTTTCCCGTCTTCTTCCTTTCCGTCCCTCACAGGTAAACGAATCTGAACTCCCCTGCGCGGGAAATGCGGATGCTTCAATAGCAGACGGAAAAGCCGGGTAAAACCATCTTGACGGATTTTGTTTTCTATTTTAGATCCTAAAATAAGCAGAAGAAGACCATCGCGAGAGAGAAGGGGAAGTTCTGAACGTTACCAGAGAGACGTACAGACACTCGTCCTGCAGGTAAAGCATGTGTTTCGGCAGACCCAGATGGCTCTTATCCACAAGCCTGGCTTTATATAACGTACCCGCAGTATCGTGTGATAAGCATCTCCTTGCACACAGGTTCCATCTAAGCCTCATGTGACTGAGAAAATTGAGATTGTTCTTAATTTCCAAGAGCTTATATTTTAAAACCATCCTTTTCTATTTGAACATGCTAAAAGTGCTACTCTAAACCTTCAGTTCAATGTACTGAGCCCCGTCCACCAAAACCATTACAAAGTAAGAATCCACTGGCCTAGGGATATACAGAGATTGCAGAGGGAAGCTTGTCTATGCTGACAGATCAACGTTTGGTGGTATATTCATTTATTTAGTGCTTAGGTTTAAAGTCTAGGAAGGTAATGAACTGTTCTGTTACCTCCTGGTTATTATGTGTCATTCGGAACCATGATTGTTCATCTGATTGCACTAAAGTTTCTGTCCTTACTAGGTTAAATCTCTGTTGATTTAATGACAGTTTGTACCTTTGGCTAGTATCTCCATGTGGAGTCGTGATAGCCAGACACAGAGAAGGAAATTACCTTATATTCATTTTGCTGTACTTTTTGAAACCGAAAACCAAGAGTCATTTTGCTTCTGGGCAGGAAGGGTGTCTTAAAGGGAGGCAGTCAAGGGAGATAGTGAAAAGCCAAAAATCACAGGGTAGGGGAAACGATTTTGTAGCTTTGTTTGTGTGATGTAGATGCTGGGTTTCATTTGGACAAAGAATCTACTCTTGTATAGCTTAACCCCATTTATAAGACATTAAGAGGAACTGGGCCGGGCATGGTAGTGCCTGTAATCCCAGCACTTTGGGAGGCCGAGGCTAGATGATTGCTGGAGCCCAAAAGTCCGAGACCAGCCTGGACAACATAGTGAGATCCCATCTCTACAACCCAAAAGTCCGAGACCAGCCTGGACAACATAGTGAGATCCTATCTCTACCTGTCTCTTATACACATCTAGATGTGTATAAGAGACAGAGATGGGGTTTCACTGTGTTAGCCAGGATGGTCTCAATCTCCTGACCTCATGATCCACCTGTCTCGGCCTCCCAAAGTGCTGGGATTACAGGCATGAGCCACCGCGCCCAGCCAAAGAGCTGCTTTTTTAAAAAAAATAATAATAATAAAAATAAAAACAATTTAGAGCTGAGGTCTTGGCCTGTTGCCTAGGCTGGACTCACACTTCTGGGCTTAGGCACCATCCTTCCAAGTAGCTGGAACTACAGGGGTGCACCACTGTGCCCCAAGCTATTCTTGGTTTTGTTTTTAATCATATATTACTAAATAGCCCTGGAATTTTATTATGTATTTATTTATTTTTATTATTTATTTATTTATTTTTCAAGACAGAGTTTCACTCTTGTCACCCAGGCTGGAGTGCAGTGGTGCGATTTCGGCTCACCACAACCTCCGCCTCCTGGGTTCAAATGATTCTGCTGCCTCAGCCTCCCAAGTAGCTGGGATTACAGGCATGCACCACCATGCCTGGCTAATTTTGTATTTTTAGTAGAGATGGGGTTTCTCCATGTTG